AAAATTTAGGGGATTACGGGATTTCGGAATGCTTAAATTTGGAAAATCTTTGTGAATGGCTACAGATTTGACATCGAATCATCTACTACGGTCTCTCGCACTTACTTTTTCCTCAGCTAAGCTTCAGCTCGCATATCAGACGAGATTCCTATCCCATCACTGAAACCACATACCGTTATGTTTTTTCTGCTCAGGATGGTCGGATATAAGCGTTATATGCTTGGAACCAGACCAGTTATTTGTCATTGAAACTGCATGATACGAGATTCAAGGAGCTCGTCTCGTATCAGAGGGAAAAAAGTAGAGATCCTCATTCCGCCTCCTCGTTCCGTTGCTGTGGAGGCTTTCGTTGAAATTTCCAGGGCAGTTATCAAAAAAACTATTTTTAGGCTAGCCATAGCAGAAGCCAAACCTACCGTATTCTCAATCAGTACGGCTACAGACGAAGTGGAGAAAGTGGACGCAGCAAGCGGACACACCGTCCACTTTTGCACCACCGCCACCGAGACGCAAAAATCCGAAACCATCGATAGCGGTTCGGATGCGCAGCGTATCGACACAAATACCACGGTTCGTCATCATCCACTCTCTGCTCGAATAGCTCTCGCTCACATTTTTTTGAGCCCCACTAATTGCCCCGTTCGTTGTAGGAATGTCAAACCAGTCCTGTGGCTACGATGATGGCGGAAGTGGGCGTGGATGCCGAGCCGCCGATCATGGTGGATGCGCTTTTACAAACTGATGAACAAGCGAGAGCGCACTTCGGTGTGAATACTGACGAAGGTAAGCTCCGCCCATTTTTTTGGATTTTTGGAATGATGACGGTTTTTCAGTGCAAGAGACAAAAGTAGAAACATCAGAGCAGGCAACTGTTACGGACGAGTTTGAGAAGGCGGCAAGCGTCGATAGGGAAACTATGACAACTCGTACGTACTATAGGAATATTCCTGTGCAAACCGATGCTCCAGAGGTGGAAGAAGCTCAAGAGGTTAGAGTTATTATTTTAAATGTCTTAGACAACAATATGAATTTGAAATGCTTGAAAGATGTAAGGTTTTGCCAACCCTGCTTAGACATGCGCCATACTTGATTCATTTGATCCGCTTAATCAGTTTATCCACTTCGCTATTGGCCAAATCAGTCCGACCAATAGCGAATTGGACGAAGTGGATCAAGCGGATCAAGTGGATCAAGTATAACGCGTGCCTTAGAGGGCGTGGCCTTTGATACCGTAGTCAGTGGATGTTGTTTGACATATTATTGACCCAAGGTAAAAGTTCTAAAGTAGTCGAGGCTTTGGTGAAATTAGTGAAATTTGCTTGAAATAAATAGGCGTAAGTACTATTATCAAAGATTGTTTTTACATGTGAACTCGTTTATTTCAAAATTCGATTTTGATTCACATTGCTTGTATGCCAGCGCGTTCCAGACCGGATCCAGCGTCGTGCCAG